TGCTGTTGCTGTTGTGGTGGTTGTTGTTGTTGGCGGTGGTGGTGGCGGTGGCGGTGGCGGTGGCGATGGCGGTCAGGCCGGCGGCGGTGTTGGGGTGATGATACCTATCTTCATGAAGATGGTGAAATGATGATGGCACCAGCACGGTGACGACGACGACGACAAGCACGTCAGTCTCAAAACCTGATCTATAGGCTTAGTCGCTACACAGTTACGGAAGAAAGGTCGAAGTCATGAATCCTGCATCATGGATGCATAGGCCTGTTAGGAGGATTCACTTTGGGGGGTTTAAAATATCTGGGGTCTGGCTTTTCAGCGTCTTTAGCTTCATGGCCCTAAACCCGAGACGCTAACTCGGCGTGTCTACCTGTAGGTCAGAGATCGGGCCTCTAGAGCTGAGTTTTCGAGTTCAGGGTTTATAGGTTCGGGGTTTTGAGGTTTAGAGCGTCTGCAGCCCAAAGCTGAAGGTTTATAGTTTATAGGTTTCAATGGCCGGCGGATTCAGAAGTTCACTGTTTTCGTCGCTGCCTGGAGCTCGAGTTGAGAATTTTAACGTAAGATTCGTATCTTTTGGCATCTTTGCAGCCATGACGAAAGCCGAGCAGAAGAAGGCCGTGCAGTTCACCCGCATGTGCAAATTCTGGCGGACGAATGAGTGCAAGATGGGGACAGAGTGCACCTTCGCACACACGACGGAGGAGTTGCGTCCCAGCCCGAAGCCTTGCTTTGACTTCGTGAAGAAGGGCATCTGTTCACGGGGACAGGCATGCAGGTTCGTGCACGACCTGAATGGCATAAAGCCGAAGGCTAAGATCATGGAGGTGCCGTACGCATCTTTGGACAACTTCCAGCCTTGCGCCGTGCCATCTCAAGTCCTTGCCACCTACATGCTGCCGTCCCAGAGCCCCATGAACGTCGAAGGCTGGCTCGAGCCGCAATATGCCTATACCCAAGCAGCATGGCCCATGCGGTCTGAGGACCGTTCCAGCTCCTACACACCACCCGGGCTGGATCAAATCCCTTTGCCCGCGAGCCTCGTTGACGATCCGGAGCTCATGGCAGAGAGGCCGCTGGGTCCTGGAATACCATACTTTACTAAAGTTAATAATCACAACGACAGAATAATGATGATATTAAGAATACGAAGAACAGTTCGAATTGTACGAACAAGAGTCTTAATCTTAAGTCTCGCAATACTTTATAGCTTTTTCGGGACCTGAACTTGACAGGCCCCATTATGAAATACAAGCTTATGTATTGTTTCTCCTTGGGTTCTTCAAAGCCCAGGTCGAGCAAGGAAGAGTCCCGTCGCCCCAGCTTGTGTGAAACCTCACTGGGTTCCTGGCATTGTTTCTAGCAGCTTCTTTAGTTGCTTATCACTTGCTTATCCTCAAGCAACCCTTTGAAACCACCTGCACAAGAATCGGCGAAGGCTTGGGGCAGTTTTCGGTCTCTCTGACCAAGAATATGGACCCGGAGGACATGTTTGCCCCAGGGAGTTTAACATCGACGATGTCGCTGAGCGGAGCCGCATCATACTTGAGTGACTTTGAGGGGCCATACACTAGGTTGTTCGTGTAGCTTTGCTCCCCGATTTGGTGCAAATCCGGTCGGGGTGCATCCTTCGTCTGGTGGTTGACGGGCCGGGCTCTGTAGAATTAGCGACGTGAGCTTCAAAACGGCAGTGATGTCCAGTTCTTAGTCTGAGGCTTGTTCACATGCAATCCATGGTACCCGCCCGTCTGTTAGGTCGTGCCCGCAGTAGTTTTCACAGATTCTACCAGAGATGGGAAGGGACCGGTACTGGCACAGTTAGATTTGGTTCGAGATCTCCGGTGGCCGGAAGCATGTTCCCTAAACCCTAAACCCTAAACCCTAAACCCCCAAAGCCAGAGCCGGTGGCTGGTCCCGGGTTTGCCCCATTCTGTGCGGAGAGCTTGCAGAGGTTCATGGGCTTCGGGTCCGTTGCAAGCTTAAGGAGCATGGTCAGGATCAAAGCCAGACTGAAAAAGCCTCACCTTAAGCAGCCCATGAACCTGAACTGACGAAATATCTGAGCTGTATGAGCTTTGTCCTATTGTCGCTTTCGTGGCCGCCCAGGAATTTGGCGCATACAGTCGAGAATTGTCTTTTATGATTGGTATCTCGGTACAAGTCTTGTCGCGGCGGCGGCCTTGATTTAGCGGCGTGGCCGAAACATGACGTCAGTCAGCCTGATGTCTTATTCTGAAGCGTCGATGGTGCCCTGTATTTTGTAGAAATCTCCGCTGCTGCTTACGACGACGTTGCGAGCAGCATTGGAGTCTGCCATTAACTGCCCACCTACGCGTCCAGTTCGTGAGGAGTTCAGTTCTCGTGCCTAGCATTCTAGCTATCTTGGCATCCTTCAGCCCAAATCCTAGGGCCCTAGCGCATGGCTTGACGGTGTCTTAGATTGTAAACTAGATGCAGGGAATCTGGGGTGGAGGCCACTCAGTTGTGGACCCAACTTCCGTCCTACAGTACCAAGATCAGCTGATGCAAGCTCAGGGCAGGCCCAAAGCGAGAAGAAGCTTGACATCTTCGGCGTTCTTGCTAGAGCCCTCAAGCACAACAGAACAACCATCTGGGAGGCATCTTCCTGCGACGTGTATCCTGGTCTACATGCTTAGACGAAAAGTGGGTGATCGTCCCTATTATTCGGCCCTAAACCCAAAACCCATAATTCCCATAATTTTATAGGCCCTGTATATTTAGGCGTCCCCTGGGACTGCAAAGACTAAAGGCAAGGGCCTTGAGTACCAGAAAAGAATGCAAACAGAGGATCCCCAAAAAATGCGGCTGTGGGAGATAGACTTAGGCCAAGAAATTGGTTACCTAGGGTTTAGGGTTTAGGGTTTACTTGATCAGCTGCCGTCTTGAGATTCAAATCTTGGGGAACACACGGCACTCGGTTCAATCGTCATCTGCTGAAATGGAGAGGATTGAATCATCAGATGGCCCCCCTTCCCAGCCACCTAGATCTGAACTCCTGCGAGGGCCAGGCATCCTTTGACAAATTAAGGATGTCAAGGTCCCGGTTAGCCTTTGATTCACGTGGGAGACTCCGACAAGGGACCCCTCAGATAGACCCGGAAAGCTGTAGGATCCTCATGGCAGAGATCTCGAAGCCGGATATGTTCGGAAACCCCCCACGTAGAGACGAGACCCCTTCGCGCAAGATCCAGCGAGACAAAAGGCCGGTGTCGCCTGCGTTTTCGGATGTTTGTCGCACGCTGTGGCTTCAGCCTGTCGTGGTACAGACGGGAGCTCCCGTCAGCTTTGGAATACCCAGGAAGGAATGGTGGTGGTTTATAACTAGTAACAACCAAACTGCAGCAGGACGTCCCAATTTTCAGCAAAGGCGCAGTGATGCACGAAGCATGCTGATAGTAGTGAGGCAGACCCACAGACAGAAGATCAGAAGACCGATGAAGGTGAGGACGATACTGGTCCATACTGGTGATGATGGTGATGGCCATCGCCACCCCCCATGGGACACTGAAAGGCACTGCAAAGTAGAAGAAGAGATTGTGCTCATCGGGACGGGAAGAACATCTTAAAAGTAGGATGCAAACGAGGGATGGGAAAAGCAATGACAGGCATGACAGAAATGAGCCAATCAAGATGATAGTCTACAACTGCCGACGTGGGCTACGGAGCTTATCATTGCTTCGGCCTCAGGGTCTGTTGCTGTGCAGCCGAAGTGTTTTGGTGTCTTGATGAACCGAAGCCGCGCCTCGTCAGTGCCGGCCGTGGCGCGACACATAGACATGAAACAGATGCGAGCAGGTGTGTCAAGAACGCCCGAACACAAACAACACCGTGCTACGCATGCGGTGCGCAATGTGTCTCTGAATGGCACTTTCGAGAAAACATCCCCACATATCTTCTTGTCTCATTCTGTTCTTGGACTTCCGCTACTTCAACTGCAGGCCTGCACCCAAAAGCATGAGTCAGATCGGAAGCAGGTTCGGGTGGGCGATCCACCAGCCTCAGGCGCAGCAGCTGGAGAGGTGCCTCTGCCGTTTGCATAATAGAGTCTAGAGGGGCCTTGAGGAAAAAAATATTTTGGGGGATCGTGCGGGGTAGGCGTGCCCAAAAGCAGGTACAGCACAATGAGATAGACCTTGGCTTGTGCACATGCTGCCGTACCGCCTGATGTATACACATGTCATGGCACACCTCGAGGAGCATGATGCATGCAATAGATGAGTCCTGAACCCGAGCAATGGGTGCTTCTGGCAGTCTTCGGTTCAGTGGTGATTGTATGTCTGAGAGGTATGAATTGGGCAGTTTACTTTCCTCTTACTTGAAAACTCCTAAATTAAGTAGCGATTGCAGGTCTGAGGGCTCTGACTTGAGCAGTTTACTCTCCCCCTTTCTTGAAATCTCCGAAAGTAGGCCAGAGGAAACATTGAGATCGTACTTCGGAAGGTGCGCTGCTTCCCTGCGGAAGAAGCAGGCTCACGGCGATGACAACTTCAACGGGTTTCGGTCGACGGGGTAGTCATGCTGAGGTGTCTGGCGAATGTTGCGAAGGAGTTGTGCTGAATAGTTCCGCGCTGACACGGCATGCATATGTCGAGGGCTGGGTCAGTACCATATTCGGCTTCGATAACAAGAGTGACTGTGCCGTTCGTAAAACGTGGTTGGTGCTTGTTTATCAACGCAGATTTGTGTTCTTAATCCTTGCTTGCCCACAACATTGCTCTATGCAATTTCAGCCAAAGTTTCGTATGGAGCTTGATGGAAGGTCATGAGAGAAACGCGACTTTGGCGATACGGTCCTTCACATACATAGCATGTCATGGACATGCGCCTCTGCCTGTCAAGTCAATAGGAGGTTCTCGAAGAGTCGCACACGTGCTTGGCACGACTCGACTTGCGAAAAATTAACCACAGCATCATAGAGAAGGCTCTGTGAGGTCTTGTTGCACTTGCCTAAGCTGAGTGACTTGGACATTTCCCCAGTCTTGCAAACCCAGCACAAACACCCAAAGTCATTCAAAATATGTGTTGTTGTAAGTACGAGCACACGGAAACCTGTAGCACTCTGGAGGCTCCACATCTTTTTTGTTTGCTTCGACCCAGCATGTCATCCTGATGGCTAATATAGGGGCCCAAGGCCAAAAGACGCTGATCAGGTGTGGAGGGCTGCACCTCAAGTACAACTGCTGCAGAAGCATTACTGCAGGCTGCTAGTTTGGTTTGGGGGCTGGGCCATTGAAGGATGGTTTTCAATGTGGCGGCAGGGAGGGAAGAATTTGTTGGAGTCGCGGCCGGACAGCTACAACTGCAGCTACACCTACTGCGTCGACGATGATAACGGTTTAGGCAGTATTGCTACAAACTGCGCTGCATCTACTGCCATAATTTAAATGCTTCACGTCGTCGGCCTCGGCCCGGCTGTACTTGGGGGAGGGCTGGGGCGTTCGCACAGAAAAAGGGACCGGGTCTCCCGGCAAGCCCAGTCGCTGCCAGTAGAATCTGGACGCAGGGGTTGCCAACACGAAATCCAAGTTTTAGGCGGGGATCGGGGGGAGGAGGCGGGGGGTGGCCCGCTAAGGGGGTTCGCTCACTGGAGAAACAGGGATACTGTGTGGGAACCTCTGACAGCTTCGGCCACGGTCGAGGCGAATACTACTAACTACTATACTAGCTACTACTACTCCTCCTCCTGCTGCTGCTGCAAGTATTTTAGAACGAGGACGACGACCACGACGACGACGACTGCTACTACCGCT